TGGGAAAGAGTGATGATATTAGACATTCTATTGTGTTCATACTGGATAAGCCACTGACACAGGCACACATGAAGGATATACTAAATGTGGTAGAAAAAAAATCCTTTATCTTGACCCTAAAAGTTCTGTATGCATGTGTACGATATTAATTTGCATAGAATTTTCTTTGATCTGTATAATAGATACTAAATTTTGTATCTATAGAGGATTAAAATGTTGAATTCTCTAGTAATGGTTATGTTATTTATTCATAATCATAACATAGAATTACATTTTTTAATGAATAGGAAAATGATAACAATTCTCAAATCAAAAGATTTAAATGGATTTATCTTTATATCTTATTCTTTCTCACACACTCCTAGTACATTTCTTCAAAATTCTTTTATTGATCGATCTTATCTAGCATTAAGATTAAGGAATATATGGTCATCACACCCACTTCATTTGGTCAATTAATAGTATTGCTCTTTTTCAGAGACTTTCTGAAGACATCTCTGTGTTTGGCAATCTGGAAGATGAACCAACAGGACCCTTCATCAAATGTTCCAGTGAAACGAAAACGTGGCCGACCACGAAAAGACGAAAAAAGGGAGAATGTGCCCATAGCTGTAATGCCTGTAATGCCTGTAATGCCTGTCCCGGACAATGTGTTGAACTCCAATCAAACAACAGGCACGGGTGGTGATGATTGTAACGATGAAATGGTGGGGAAGGCAGTCACTGGTGTCATTGACGGCACTTTTAATGCTGGATATCTTCTTCATGTTAAGGTGGAAAACACTGATGATTTCTTAAAAGGCGTTGTGTTTCTACCAGACAAAGTTGCTCCAGTTACTGCAGAAAATGATGTGGCTCCACATGCCAAAATGATAATAAGGAAAGAGATTCCATGTCCAGTTCTTAACCAACAGGCAGAGGTACATGGGTCTGTTCCCACAACAGTGAAATGCAACAAGCAATCTTTTGAGCCAGAATTACAGGTGCATATGTCTGATGAGCGAGTTCTTAACCCACAACCAGAGATACATGGTTCCGTGTCCTCATCAGTGCAATGCAACAAGCAAAGTTTAGAGCCAGAACTACCGGTGCCTGTGTCTGAAGAGCGAGTTCTTAACCCACTGGCAGAGATTCATGGTTCTGTTTCCTCATCAGTGCAGTGCAACAAGCAATCTTTTGAGCCAGAATTACCGGTGCCAATGTCTGAAGAGCCCGTGGCTAACCAACAGGCAGAGATACATGGCTCCGATTACTCATCAGTGCAACGCAACAAGCAATGTTTTGAGCCAGAATTACCAGTGCCTATGTCTGAAGAGCGAGTTCTTAACCCACAGGCAGAATTACATGGTTCCGTTTCCTCACCAGTACAATGCAACAAGCAATCTTTTGATCCAGAATTACATGTGCCTATGTCTGAAGAGCGAATTCTTAATCCACAGCTAGAGATACATGGTTCAGTTCCCTCATCAGTACAATGCAACAAGCAATGTTCTGAGCCAGAATTTCAGGTGCCTATGTCTGAAGAGCGAGTGCTACCAACTGAGCGAGTACAATGCAACAAGCAATCTACCTCCACTTTGATACCCATTTCCAGTGGAGGAATTCCACAGGCGATATCAGAGCCTGAGCATGTGAGTCAGTCTGCCTCTATTGTGTCAGAGTTGGATCATGACAAAACGCTTAAACCAGGTGAAACATTGCATGAGCTTGATGCCTTCACACAAGTAAAAGAATCTTGTGCTGATGAAGAAACAAAGGACTCGGGGGCAGCACTTAAACTCATCAACCTACTTCCATCCCTTGAAAATACCAATAAGGAGCTCAGAACTGGACAGCAGGCTTTGCCTCGTGTGCATCAGCTGAATGAAATGGCTCATGATGAACCAAATATTGAACTCAACCTGATCCCTCTATCTGCTGAACCTGAATCGCCAAGTGAACAGAGTAGTAAAACTGTAGAAGATTTTGTGGAGAAGCAGTTGCCAAAAACTGATGTGGTAGAAGATACAAAGACAAAGCTTGCGATTGCGACTTTAAGCAATGTTGACACCTCAACCTCAAATGTAAGACCAAGTACTGATGTTAATATTCCTGTTGTGGGATCAAGCCATGCACTTGAGATCAGCCAACCTGAATCCATGCCGTCTGAACAAGATTTGTGTGCCAAGAGGGACCCATAAAACTGTAGCTCTTCTGGTGACATTAATTAGGTGGATTTCGACCAACCTACTGAATCTTTAACCAATTCAGTGGAGTATGAGAAACAGATTGAATCAGGCACTACTTGAAAATTATATGGAATATATGGAGAAGGTGGTCTTGCATAGTTGGAGCTTAGGCTGGGAGAATAAATCAGTATATTGTGAGAAGCACGCTTCGATCTACTTTTTGTTTTGCTGTCACTTTTTTTTGAATAAACGAGTTTTCTCATAACAATCTTTTTTCTCAACGGTAATAATTAGAGATATGATTAGTTAGGAGTTTGTTAATAGAGTTACCAGTCAGTTTGTGTAATCTCTTTGTACTCATGCTTCTTCGTTATCAATACAATCTCATGTTCAGTTTTATACAATTTTTCCTCACTTTTCACTTCTAAACCATGAATTCGAACATGTATGTACTATTTATACATCTTAAATTCTTAGTCTTACCTGTGATGTATGAGTACACGGTATACGCGGTTGGATTAGTGAGAGATAAGTGGTATATGAGCAGGCTATACGTTTTTAATTTAATCTTGTTGCAAGTTCTTGATATATTAATCATTCTAAATTTCTTAGTTCAAATAGTTTCAAGGTTAAGTATGCAGTAGACATCGTATGCCCAATCGATATTCGGTTGTCAAGAAAAATGCTACCAGAGGTATTCCAGATGCATCATTAAAAAGACATTAATGAAACATTAATAAATTTATATTTTGATATTGATGTCTCCTTTTTGTTGATCCATTAACAGACCATTTCTCATCACTAACCATAGTAGATTAGTAGTCAATTTCAAATAATCTGAAACTGAAAGCATTTATCAAAAGTCACAGTACAAATACCAATAAAGCAGATACTACTTGGCTATAACTGCTACTTGCAAGACAAGCAGTTAGGAGTAACGTAAAAAAATGAAAATGAAAATTGTATTCTAAATATCGATCAATGGGTGAAATTAATAGGTTTTTCCATTTTAATCGAATATGGAAATTAACCCTGCGATTGCCCCAATTAAACTAGAAGTTACTGCCAAAAAAGAGTACAGGACACAAAAGTAGTAGTATAATGGAACAAAAGCCACTAGGCAGGATGGCTAACACGTTCGATTCCTATCACATTAAATAAATAAAAAATAAACATATTCATAATTAATATTATCTCCGGTCTTGTGTATATAAATAATAATTGATTAGTTCAATAAGTTCCATTAAAAAGTAATTAAATCGATTATTTTTAATAAGTAATTAAAATTTTATTTTAAAAAAAATAATTAAATAATTATAATAACATTACTCATGAAACAAAACAAAAATATTTTTAAGTGACAACCAAATAAATTAATGAATACTTAATACACTTACATAAATAAATTAGAGATATAAAAAACTTTAAAAATCAGGTTACATTTCTCTCTTGTTTATCCATAGGAAAGATTTAAAGACGCCCGCAATAAGATTTAAACTTATATCAAGCATATGATATTAGGCGAAAAAATGGTTTCGTTTTCTGATTTCTGAATAAATGAAAGGGGGCCTAGTTCCCGAACACCACAAAACGGAAGCGTACCACGGCCATAATTAGGGTTTCAAAATGGCAGAATAGCATCCAAAAGGAACGCAACACAACGCAAGAGCGCTATTACAAGGACACTATCGCATTCATAAACACTTGCCACCCACTGGAGGGTAAACAACTACCAGATATCAAATGCGGATCGGTTCATCAAGCAAGCAATATTTTATGGATACAAAATAAAGTAGGCATAAAATGTTAATGCTATTAGCAATCATAGGAAACTAAAAAAGAAGAGCCAAGTTTGTTCTCCAAAAGACAACAAAAGAGAAGCAACCAAAACGAGTGTCATGGATAGGATTACAAAAGAAACCGGGAAAATTGGGGGCAGAAATGAACTTTTTAGCTATATCCCATTTGCTGCTGTTGCTGGGGTGGTTGGTAATTTGCATAGCCAGGATAACTGCCATACATATTGGGGTCCTGGCCAGCAGGAGCATAACCATAATTTTCGTAACCTTGAGCGTATCCATAATATCCGCTACCATTCCACTGGTTTGGATCAGGTTGGGCCTGAAAATCATCCAAAAAGTCCAAATTCATCCATCAAAATCAATTTACACATTGCAGGTTGAAGCTAGGGCAAATCATAACTACAAAACAAATCAGAAAATTTAGTTACCTGTTTGTTTGAGGGGCTTCGGCCCCATGAAAGCCGAACATTTTGTCCACCCAAAAGTGTGCCGTTTAAAACCCGCAGAGCCTCTTCTGCGCAGCTCCTGATGTATGAACATGAAAAGTCAGGGCACAAATATCAGAGCACACTGCATATAGACTAGGAAGTAATTTAACACGAGATAAATACCAAATATCTGAATGATTAAATTACCTGTCGGCAAATTGAACAAATCCACATCTTTTGCCAGCTGGAATCTTCACGTGAACCAACTCTCCATACTGTCCAAAAACTTGTCTCAAATGGTCATCCGTAACATTAGGATCCAAATTGCCGACAAAAATCTGCAGTAAAAAAATCAGGTCAGAAACAAGCACAAAGTATAGTAGTTTCTATATTGCAAAGAAGTACGCACAGTTGTATTATTTGGATCATTCTCGTTCTGTGCCCCTTGAGGATTCTGATATGATGCTGCATGTTCAAAGTACAAATAAAAAGATGGATGACATTAAAAAAGGAAATTCTGGAAGCAGTCCGTTAAAAAAGATTCCAAACAAAGACAAAATATATAAATACAAATTAAGTTTTCAAGGATAAAAGGCACAGCTTGTTTTTTTGAGACAACTTTCCAGCATAATGTTGGTATACATAGGAAACTTTAAATATCCCAAATTTAACTCAACATGATTTATTTTAAGAGCAAGAACACATGTAAAGCAATCCCACAAACAAAACACAGGCACCTTATATGCACCACAAACTTTCACCAAACTAATAAAAATGAAGACAAAAGCAAAAAATCAACCACACTTTCAATTAACAAGTACTGTGTATAGAGAAACAACACCTTAAGAAGCACTAAAATGAGTCAGTGCTTTACAGCAGAAGAGTTCATATATAAGAACACTATTCACTGATATATAAACGAAATCAGACATTAAAATTAAACCATGGATTCAGATTATTTCACTAGAAAATTCAACAGAAATAGTTGTGACACAATGCGAGGGGGCAGCATTCTGGCAATATGTGATGCAAATAAATATAATACCACATACAAAGTGGCATGAAAGAGGGAAAGTGGAAAATGAGAATAACAAAGGAAGCTGTCAAATCTCTGTTACACCAGACTTATGTATAAAAAACTTCACAAACAATTTAACTTAAACAATTTGATATATTAGTCTGTCCAAGGGATTAAGCAATAAAGAGTATATTACAACTTTAATTGCATAATATTAAGCCGAGAAATTTAAAAAGAATGATGACGGACCTTTGCATCCTGTCAATAAAAAATGACATGATAACAAACAAAACCATTTTGGCAGAGTGCAGTTTCTACAGAATCAAAGCACTAACCACAGGCATCCCAAATTTTAATCCTCATGGACAAGAGATAGGAAAGTGAATTAACAGCAACTGATAGATGAACAAAAGAAAGTAGAAAGTAAACAAGATTTGTTTCAGAACAAGGGAAAGCTAAAAAAAAGAAACTCAAAGATGTAGCTCTTCCAGTAATCTCAAAGGGGTAAAATTAAAGGAGCAAGAATGGAGGACGGAAATGTAAGTAATTAGAAAAGTTGCACTGCTTACTTTGGCTAACAAGCCAACCAACAGAATGAAATGAAAAGAAAATAAAAGTAATTAGAGACGGAAAAGAAAATGCCACAAAAATTAATGGGCAATACATAAACAGATAACTGACCTACACAAGGCCATGCACTAAAATGGTAACCATTTCAGCTGAAATCAGTTCCAGGCTCCGAGATGACAGAGCCTCTTGACACCCTGCTTTGAGACAACGGGAGTTCTATAAGATTTTATTATTTAACATCATTTACTTAGCCCAAATTTTTAAAGGAAATTACAGGAAGAAATGAGTTTGGACTGCACATCTTCAAGAGTGCAACTGAAAAAACTGTAATTAAACAGTAACATTTGGGATACACACACAAAAGATAACTAGAAACTTCAAGAACTGAATCCAACCAATATCAATGTATCAATAACAGACAAGAAAAGTAGGCATGTGGAAGAAAACATAGCTAAATTATCTTGAACATATCAAGCAGATATTTGCATCAAAATGGTCAGCACTTAACAACAATGAAAGAGACAAACCTTTTGGCTGAGACTGAGTGCTAGGGTTTTTATTAGAGGCCGGTCCAATTCGCATGGGCCTTGTTGAACAAAGAACCCCTTGCATTTCAGTCATAGCTCTAACCTGTTCACTCTCATCTCCAAACCTAACAAAACCATAACCCTTTGTCCGGCCTGTGAGTCTATCAATTACAACTTTGGCCCCCTTAACCGAGGGATATCGTGCCCGAAATGTCTCTTGCAGAAGATAATCCGTAACATCAGCAGCCAGGTCTCCAACAAATATGGTATGGTCCGGGCTGTCATCATGACGCCTCTCACCTGCACTAAAAGTTGCCCAATTCAATCTGAAGTTCTGCCCACCGTTTGGCATAATGGTGCCATTGTAAGTCTGCAGAATTCTCTCAGCACCAGCACGACTGGTAAACTCAATAAACCCGTATCCCTCTGATTGACTAGTTTGTTTGTTTCGAATAACTTTAACTGAGGCCACCTGCAAGCAATTAATGCACTTCCATCATCAGTAACTAAAACTCTTAACATTCAGAATAACCTTAAATCACCAGTAAACTTCTAGAATCTAAACATAAGTTTTTCTTTACCAGCAAGATATAGACAATTATATAATAACAATAAACCTAAATTATTCAAATTCTCCCAGATAATTCGGCAATTATCGAAATCCTAGATTAATAAAACCACAGAGATTGACAACATAGAACGCAAATCTGTATTAAGGAAACCTCAAGTCTACATCTTCAAAAACAAAACAGTATCTATCTCGTTCTCGTCCACATAAATTTTCTAGCTTGCACAAAACCTCACATAAAAACAGAACCGTAATTCGATTTCAACAAAACCTAAATCTAAAGCCACACAATAGTAATTTCTGCTTCAAATCTAGGTTTGACACATTAAAATAAACGAAAGTAAAAAAAAAACACGAATCTGGAGGGCGATTAGAGAAAGAAAAGCAGATATACCTCGCCGGTGTGTGCGAAACAGGTGTAGAGATAATTTTCGTCCATCCAGTACTGCAAATCGCCGATCCAGAGGGTACGGACCTCATCGGCGCTGGTGGGCTGCGGAGGAGCGACCGATTGGGGCGGAGGCTGGGCCGATGGGGCCCACATGGGAGGGGGCTGAGGCTGCGGCGGCATCATCATGTAGGGTTGTTGCTGCTGCTGCTGTTGCTGTTGTTGGTATTGCTGGTTGGGTTGTTGGGCCATGCCGGGTCCAGGTTGCATCATCTTCTTCAATCTCAAATTCAAAATCCAGAGAGAGAGAGAGAGAGAGAGAGAGAGGAAACAAAGGCAATGAGGAATGTGAGACTGTGCTTTAAAAGAGTGGTTGAGACTCAAACCCTAACCGTGAGGCGTGTCGTTCTTTCTGTCTCTTACCACGGATATGGTATTTCCATTTTTCTAATTCAACTTTTAAAAAATAAAATGAAAGAATATCTTTTACACAACCAAATGTTCAAAACCATTTATTTTTTTTACAAAATTGTTTCCTTTGCTCAAGGAAAAAAATTGGTGTAGCTTTATAGGGAAAAGATAAAAATATTTAATACAAGAAAAAATTGAAAATCATTTATTTGTTGCAAAAATATATATTTTTTTTTTTTCACTATGAAAGATTGTATGATAAATTTATTTTCTGATCATAATTACTCGGTCATATCAAAACTATTTTTAATTGATTGGATAATAATAAATTTGTTATATCAATATAATATAACTGTATATTTTTAATATAACATTTTCATGAGATAAAAATTATTCAATCAAATATTTAAATTATATTTTTATACAATTAACAAACAAAATTGTATACCTTTTCATATATATATATATATATATATAT